GTGTTGCCTCAGCAACGGCAGGCTGCGTCAGCAGTGGGCGTGTATCTCAGTAGGGACGGGTTGCCTTGGCAACGGCTGGCTGCGTCAGCAGTGGGCGTGTATCTCAGTAGGGACGGGTTGCCTCGGCAATGGCTGGCTGCGTCAGCAGTGGGCGTGTATCTCAGTTGGGGCGGGTTGCCTCGGTAGTGGTGGACGCCCCTCCCCCACAGAGCTTCTCGGACCGTCTGCTCCGGATAGTTTGAAATCGCGGTTTTGTTCGTCCCACTGGGTATCCCAAACGATCTGTCCCTGCAATCCCCTGGGCTGACCAAGTCTCGTTCAGTCTCAAGTCCAGCCCTCTCAAGTCTCAGGTTGCCGGTTCAACAGGGCACCGGGACAAGCGCGCCCTGTGGGGATTGCTGGGTAGGGCCGGCCGCCGCCGCCCCGGCTGCCGGCTTCACCAGGCAGACCTACTGCCTGGCGTCCCGTGTCTTTTTTATACTTGGGAGTTTCCCCGTTCTGTGGGCAACAAAGATCAGTCTGGAAATGCAGCTCAGACTCACCGTTTGCAGATTCAACGAGAGCTCCAATCCTGGGTTGTTCTCACAGTGCCATTTTGAGTCCTCCCCCTACTTTGCTTTCACTCTTAGATAATAGCTTTTGGCTGAGTATAGAATTCTGCATCCGGAGTTACTTTCTCTTAGCAATTTGAAACGATTATTCCATTGCATCCTGTCACTTATTTTTCTCATTGGAAATCTTATTAGTCTAATTTTTATACCTTTATGGTTAATTATTTTTCCCTCTTTGATAACTTTAATTTTTCTTATCCTGCAGTTTTACTCTTATGTGTCTACATATGAGTTTGTATTATATCCTGCTTGGTACAAAATGTACTTTTACTCCAAGGGGTTATTCTTCAGTTTTGGAAAGTTCTCTGCTCCTATCTCTTCAAATATTGCTTCTTTGTAATTTTCTCTATTTTCTTCTTTTGAAAGTTTATTAGACAGTTGGAGCTTCTCTGTCTGTTGTCTGTGTTGCTTATTTTCTCACTTATTTTCAAAAGTCTCTTTGTTGCATTTTACATTATTTTCTCAGTAATGCCTTAAAATATAGTAATTCTCTCTGAGACTGTGTGAGGTCTAGAATGTCCAATGCGTCTTTAAATTGTATGTTCTAACTTTTTGAACTCTTTTATTTTATTTATTTTTAAAAATGTTTGTGTTTTTAGAGACAGGGTCTCACTGTGTTGCCCAGGCTGGAGTGCTGTGGCTATTGATGGGACCAATCATAGTGCTACATCCTTAAACTTCTGGCCTCCCACCATCCTCCTGCCTCTGCCTCCCAAACAGCTGGGACTACAGGCACACACCACTATGTCCAGCAAATTTTAAATAAACTATTTCTACCTATTCTTGGATCATTTAAGCCTGATTTTGTTCCATAATTTATTCTTTTTAAAAATTTATGTGGCCCAGCACAATGGCTCCCACCTGTAATCCCAGCACTTTGGAAGGCTGAGGTGGGCTGATCACCTGAGGTCAGGACTTCGAGACCAGACTGGCCAACATAGTGAAACCCCTTCTCTACTAAAAATACAAAAATCAGCCAGGCATGGTGGCATGCGCCTGTAATCCCAGCTACTTGCGAGGCTGAGACAGGAGAATCACTTGAACCCGGGAGGCGGAGGTTACAGTGAGCTGAGATTGTGCCACTGCCCTCCAGTGTGGGTGACAGAACAAGACTCCATCTCAAAAAAAAATTATATTATTGCTTCAACTGACTTTTTGAGGATTCTAAACATATATTATCATTCTTTTTTTCTTTTTTCCTGAGATGGAGTCTTGCCCTGTTACCCAGGCTGGAGTGCGGTGGCAAGATCTCGGCTCACTGCAACCTCTGCCTCCCAGGTTCAAGCAATTCTCCTGCCTCAGCCTCCTGAGTAGCTGGCATTACAGGCACATGCCATCCAACCCAGCTAATTTTTGTATTCTTAGTAGAGACAGGGTTTCACCACATTGACCAGGGTCGTCTCAAACTCTTGACCTCGTGATCCCTCTGCTGCAGCCTCCCAGAGTTCTGGGATTACAGGCTTGAGCCACTGCACTGAGCCCATGTATTTTCATTCTGTAGATTGTCCTATTTCAGTTTAATCTGGAGCAAATAATTCTGACTATTAAAGTTTTGAGAGCATTTTTTAATGTAGATTTCTTTGTGTGCTTTGGAACATTTTATGAACTTTTAATGTTCATTTTGGGTGGAAAAGATTATTCTGTTATCCACAGCTGCCTATTGAAGGATTTTGCACTTAACAAACAAGTTCCCAGAATACCAAGTTTTAAATCAGGCCTTATACTGACAATTTGAGATTTCTCCTCTGTATTAGTTATTCCTGACATAGCTCAAAATCTCAGTGATATACAGCAGTAAGCATTTATTTTGCTCACAAGTTGGTGGGGCAGCCTCTGATTCAGACTGTGGGCGTATGGTTAGCTGGAGCAGCTCTAGTGTGTTCATTGTTGAGCTCAGACTGTGGGAGAAGCAGCTACCTAGGAGAATCTCATCTTATGACGATGGCAAAAGCACAATAGGACAAGCCTCGCTGTGCTAGCAGTTGAAGCCCCTGCTTACGTAACATCTTCAGACATTTCATTGGCCAACCCAAGTCCCACAGTCAAACACAAGATCAAGGAGCAGGTGAGCATACTTTGCCTTTTGTGGGAGGAACTTCAAAGTCACGAGGCAAAGCAGGTAGATACATGGAAGTGTGAAGCATTGAGACCAAAAATCAGTTCAATCAACTATAGTCCACCTTCTTAGTCATGATTACTTACATCCATCCCACAGCAAAACAGACTCATCTTTATCCCAGGACCCCCAGAAGCCTCATACAGTCATTTATAAGGATTGCATTCCACTGTCTTATGGTGTACGTCTATTTTGGATGTGGTTCCCCTGATCTGTAAACCTATGAACTGAAAAAAAAAAAAATTATAACAATGTTACGGCCAGTGACAGACTGCATATATCATGGTGGTCCAATAAGATTATAATCCAGCTGAAAACTTTTTATCATTTCTATTCTTACATTTCTATTATCTGCAGCTGAAAAAATTCATACATGTACAGTCATGTATCACTAAATGATGGGGATACAGTCTGAGAAGTGTGTTATTAGGCAATTTTGTCCTTGTTCAAACATAGTGTACTATACAAACCTAAATGGTATAGCCCATTACACACCTAGGCTATACGGTGTAGCCCATTGCTCCTAGGCTACAAACCTATACAGCATGTATTATACTGGATGCTGTAGACAATTGTAATACATTGGTAAGTATTTGTGTATCTAAACATTATCTAAGCATAGAAAAAGCAATGTATTGTGCATTGGTGATGACTATGAGGTCTGACAGCCTGGACCTCTCTGAGGAGATGACAATTGTACTGACTTATGGGTGATGAGAAGGGCCCAGCTGGGCAGAATGGGGGAGGATGTGCCAGTGCAAAAGCCCTGGGGTAGGTGTTCAAGGGAGAGGGATGACGCTGTGGGCCTGGAACAGTGAGAGAGGGAGAGTGGAGGGGATGAGGCCAAAATGCTGCTAGATCATATTACTCAGGGCACTGTCAACCACAGAGAGGGTGTGATGTGTGTGGAGTTGCCAGGTCTGCAAACAGGAAGGGCACTTCTGCTCCACATGCTTATTCTCAGGCCTAGGGCAGAAGCTACCCTGGGGAAAACTCTCCTGATTGTGATGACAGAAGTATAAGGGCCAAGCCCCATTAGATAAGCACATTTCAAGCTCTTGCTTTCATCATATCTGCTAACACCCCATTGGCCAAAGCATGTGCTATGGCTGAGCCCAGAAAAGTATACTGCCTTTTATGGGAAGAATTTCGACATTACAATGGCAATGGATATAGGCACAAAAAGGGATAAAGAATTTGGACCTATAAATCATTTTGTTATAAAGATACATGTATTTTATTATAAAGATACATGTTTATTGCAGCACTATTCACAATAGCAAAGAAATGGAATCAACCCAAATGCCCAAATGCCCTTACACACACAGTGGTACATATACATCATGGAATACTATGGAGCCACAAAAAGGAATGAGATCATGTCCTTTGCAGGGACATGGATGGAAATAGAAGCCATCATCCTCAGCAAACTAACACAAGAACAGAAAACCAAACACCACATGTTCTCATAAATGTGAGCTGAACAATGAGAACACATGGACACAGGAAGAGGAATATCACACGCTGGGGCCTGTCAATGGATAGGTCGGGGTGGGGGGAGGGAGAACACCAGGAAAAATAGCTAATTCACATGGGGCTTAATACCTAGGTGATGGGTCAATAGGTGCAGCAACCCACCATGGCATGTGTTTACCTATGTAACAAACCTGCATGTCCTGCATATGTATCCAGAAACTTAAAATAAAATTTAACAATAATCATTTGGACCACTCATTGATGACATCCTTCATGGGAACATGTAGAATATTGGTTGCCAGCTTGTGTTTTTGTCCTTCCTCCTGAAGCTCGCAGCTTCCCCTAAAGCTATAGTACCAGGCAGTAGTCAGCAGCAGCTTTTCAAGCTTCCTTGTGAAAGGGATGAGAGGAAGTGAGGATCACCAGCCCAGCTCCTGGTTTTAGGCAGTAAACCTGTCTCTAATCTCCCAAGAGAATATGAACTCACAATTGCCTCTATCTACTTCTTGACTTAGAGTTTAGCAGACTCGTGGCTCCCACCTAATTTCTTCATTGCATTTTCTGTTCCTGGCTCACAGAGATGTATTATGAAACATGGCCACGAGTTTCGAGTAAAGGAATAATGTAAATCATTAACTTTCAATAGCATTGCAATCCAAAGTCCTAGAATCCTATATGAAATATATATCCTTTATTTCATGTGATGGTTTTTAAAAATAAAATGTTTTAAAATCCCTTGGCACTTAAGCATACCAAATTTAGTATATTACCAAACAATAGTTTCATAAATATTCCAATTCAATATCTTTTTTTAAAAAAAGATCAGGCAGATTATATAAAAGGATAATAGGCTGGGTACAGTGACTCATGCCTATAATCCAAACACTTTGGGAGGCTGAAGCTGGAGGATTGCTTGAGCCCAGGAGTTAGAGACAAGCCTGGGCAACAAAATGAGACCTCCTCTCTGCAAAAAATGCAAAAATTGGCCGGTGAGGTGGCACGTACCTGTAGTCCCATCTACATGGGAGATTGAGGCAGGGGGATCACTTGAGCCTAGGAGGTCAAAGCCGCAGTGAGCCATGATCAAGCCACTGTGCTCCAGTCTGGGTGACAGAGCAAGACCCTGTCAAATAAATAAATGAATGGAAAATAGTCAGTAAATCTGATCAGTAAACCAGTAAAATGTATATATATCAAATATGAAGGTATTTTATCTCAGCCTGGTTATCTCATTCTCTATCTCTTATCAAAATTTTCTTTGTTTTTGACTTTTTATTATAGAAAATTTATTATGGAAAATTTTAAATATATAAAATGTACACAGAATGGTGTAGCAACTTTTATGTACTCATCACTGAGCTTTCATAATTATTAATCACAACAAATCTTGTTTCATTTCTCCCTGGAGGTTGGAAACTATGACCCACAGACTAAATCTTGCCTGTTGCCTGCTTTTGTAAATAAAATTTTGTTGGAATGCAGCCATGCTCTTGTGTTACATCATGCCTGATTTTGTGCTATAGTAGTGGAGTTTAGTAGTTGCAACAGAAGTTGTATGGTCTGCAAAGCCTAAAGGAGTTATTATTTAGCCCTTTACAAAAAAGTTTGCTGACCCCTGAACTATAACTTTCATCCACTCATCTCAGGAAAAATCTCTTTCATATTACATTTTTTAATGTTTTAGTATGTCTCTAGAAACTAATGACTTTTTAAAAAGACAATATCACTCTTACCTACAAAATTAACAGCAATTCATTAGTTTTCTCTTCTTTTCTATAAAACTCCAACAAAATAAGAACAAGTAAGAACTATTTAATAGTTCAGTTTCTTGCTAACTCATTATTCAGGTCCACTCATAGTCTACAAACCGTTGAAAGAGCCACAAACTATTCTTTATTAGTGGTTTACTATCAGAAATTTTAACAGTTGAACAAGCAATTTATCTGTAAATGACCTCAAATAATAAAATATCATGAATTTAACAAAGCATATAAGAAGGTTAAGCAATAATGGCAATCATTAGACAGATTTCAGCACAATTACAATTTGAATTCTATTAAGGTTCTGTGAAAAAAGAAGCCTGTAAATACAATCTCACTGTTTTAAAGGCTAACAGTGTTACCGGTTTTTTTGTTGTTGTTTGGTTGGTTGTCTTTGTTTTGTTCTGTTCTGTTTTATTTTTTTGCTACATTGGTTTTTCTTTTCTTGAGAAAACCAAGTTCACTTTTTTGAAGTTGTAACAGTTATGTGACTGTTAGCATTTTAAAATAATATTTTATATTAAAATAGCCCTTTACAGTTTACACGGCAGCTCCATGGGAGCCAATTCATTTAATATTTATACAACCTAGTGAGGTGGAGATTCTTTTCTCACTGAAGGACTCTGCTGAGTCACAAACCCAAGTCATCTATTCTGTTCAAAGTCCATCCCACTTCTGCTGCTGAACTGGCAATCACCACACTTACCACAGAGCAGTTTTAAATGGAGTTTATCACCTTTTACAGGCCTTCGCTATATAAATTGAACTATGTTATGCAAACTAGTCACTTTACACTACTTCCTAGATATACTAAAGATACACATCTATGCAGCGAAGATATTGGAATAAACCTATGACATCTATACCTTTGGAACTTAGAATTTTAAGCAGAGTACTGTAATTTTCAAACTTAAGCAAGAAACACTCCATTATATAGTTTTGACAAACCACACTCCTTATGATGGATGAAGTGCCCTAATGAAGAGGGGACCTTAAATAGAGCTCAGAGACATGGGCCAGGTGTGGTGGCTCACCCATGTAAGCCCAACACTTTGGGAGGTCAAGCCAGGAGGATAGCTTGAGCCCAGGAGCTCAAAACCAGCCTGAACAACTGTATTAGTCCATTTTCACACTGCTGGTAAAGACATACCAGAGACTGGAAAGAAAAAGAGGTTTAATAAACTTACAGTTCAACATGGGTGGGGAGACCTCACAAGCATGGCAGAAAGCAAGGAGGAGCAAGATAAGTCTTACATGGATGGTGACAAGCAAAGACAGAGGTTGTGCAGAGAAACTCCTGTTTTTAAAATCATCAGATCTCGTGAGACCTGTTCACTATCATGAGAATAGCATGGGAAAGACCCACCTACTTGATTCAATCATCTCCTACTGGGTCCTTCTGAGAACACATAGGAATTATGGGAGCTACAAGACGACATTTGGGTGGGAACACAGAGCCAAATCATATCATTCTGTCATTGGCCCCTCCCAAATCTCATATCTTCACATTTGAAAACCAATCATGCCTCCAAACAGTTCCCCAAAGTCTCAATTCATTTCAGCATTTACTCAAAAGTCCACAGTCCAAAGTCTCATCTGAGACGAAGCAAGTAAGTCCCTTTCACCTATGAGCCTGTAAAATCAAAAGCAAGTTAGTTAATTCCTAGATACAATAGACATACAGGCATCAGGCAAACACAGCCATTCCAAATGGGAGAAATTGGCCAAAACAAAGGGGCTACAGGCCCCATGCAAGTTCAAAATCCAGTGAGGCAGTCAAATCTTAAAGCTCCAAAATGATCTCCTTCAACTCCATGTCTCACATCCAGGTCATGCTGATGCAAGAGGTAGGTTCCCATAGTATTGGGCAGCTCCACCCCTATGGCTTTGTAGGTACAGCCTCCCTCCCAGCTGGCTTCACCAGCTGGCATTGAGTGTCTGCAGCTTTTCCAGGCCCACAGTGCAAGCTGTCAGTAGATTTACCATTCTGGGGTCTGGAGGACGGTGGATCTATTCTCACAGCTTTACTAGGTGGTTCCCCAGTAGGGACTCCGTGTGGAGGCTCCCGCTCCACATTTTCCTTCTGCAGTGCCCTAGCAGAGGTTCTCCATGAGGACCCCACCCCTACAGCAAACTTCTGCCTTCGGAATCCAGGCATTTCCATACATCTGAAATCTAGGTGGAGGTTCCCAAACCTCAATTAGGAATCTGAAGATACAAAGAAATCTGAATAAATTAATTCAGTAAATGAATGAGCCAAGCCTTTCATAGGAGAAAAAAAGACCACAGCTGCTTATGTTTCTGGCATAATGACAGGAATGAGGACAAATGTACCACAGATGGGTTGAAGGAGGAATGAACAGAAATTTTAACAAACTTTTAACAAACCACCATATGGCATTACACACTAGAATTCAAAGAAGCCCCAGTCAAAGTGTATCTACACCCACATGCCAACACTTTCCTATAGTTCTTTACCTGGTACAAAAAGAAAGCCCCAGCATCCCAAAAAGCTGGCAGTCAAAATATAGAGAAGAGAGAGATCACCGATAGTTAGGAAATCTGGTGGTTCACCTGTAAAGCACTAAACAATTTTTGGAACCTTGCCAATGTATAATCCCGAACACTTTTTTGAAGGGAAAGTCCTGATCCCACTTTCAAAATGTTGAAGCCAATAGTGAACTGAACCAAATGAAAGGTGAATAAATGAATGACTGAATGAACAACTCTAGAACGACAGATAACCACATTAACTTAGGTGCTCCTCCAGCAGCTGGCAAAAGAAGTAGCACGCTTTTCTTAGGAGGTAAATATGAACTTCAGTGTCTAGTATCCTTTTGTGCAAAATGTTCTCTATGTAATCAAACATTATGCGACACATAAATAAGCATAACACTGTGGCCCATGGTCAAGGTAGAAAAGTAGCAACAGAAGAAGACCCAGGAATTGCTTAGAGGTTGGAATTATTAGATATCATCTTCAATTTATCTGTGATCAAAATGCTAACAGATCCAGAGAGAAATGTAGACAACATGCATGAAGAGATAGAGAATCTCAGCAAAGAGTTGGAAGTTACATGTTTTTTTAAAAAAGTTTCCAATGACAATTCTAAAAATCGAAAAGAGAGAGTATCAGAAATGTTCCAGGGGAGTATCAGAACATTCTCACCTTCTTCCTGATGTTGAGGGAGATGCATTTAGTCTTTAACTGCTGAGTATAAGGCTAATTGTGGACTAGCGGGAGTGGCTTTTTTTTTTTTTTTTTTTTTTTTTTTTTCAGATGTCCTCAAATTGGAGAAATTCCCTTTTTGGCTTGCTGGGAGTTTATTTTATTATAAATGAAGGCTGAATTTCATCACATGTCTTTTTTTCATCAATTGTGATAATACAGTAAGCATCAGAAGCGGGATTCTCTAGAACGATTGAATCATGAAAGCATGGTGAAAGCATTGCTGGGGAGAAGTAGGAGGAAGCAAAGAAAGATGAACTTTTGATGCCTAGGTAGCTACCAAGTCCCCTTGGGTATGAGACAGCAGCCATGCTATGATCAGTTACTAGAAGTAAAAGTTACCAGTAGAATTTAGAAATGATAGACCCAACTCCTAAGTAGTTTGCTCACTGGATACGTAAGGAAATGCAAGATAATGATAAACAAGCTAAATATACAGTCCTTTAGTTTTTCTTTTATTTGTAATAAGTAAGTTCAAAATAAAGCAAAATGTTGGGGTAGATACTGTTACTGCATCAAACTTTGGTTTGGGACAATCTGAGCTACAGCCTGTAGTGTTAAAGCCACTACGAAAGGGAAAAATTATAGTGGAAAATACTGCGACTCTGGTCACCAACAAGATAGTCAAGGTGGTGGGAGGAAGCAAAAAAGCTACGGAAACCAGGGAGCGAAATGTGAAGGAGTTGTCTCATTTTGTAGATCAATATCATCGGCTTCCTGGAAAACCTTTACTGAATGGATCGAGTGACTAAATCAGAAGTCTCCTTAGTTTTGAATGTTGCAAAATGGAGGAGCGTGGATTGATGCAAGATGTATAGCTCACCATTTAATAATGGATGACTACACCAGTCCCCTGTGGGGAGGCCAGGGACATAGCTGGCAAGTAGACTACATCAGACCACTACTGGTAACACAGAGGCTATCCACGCTCTCAACAGGAAAAGACACTTACATGGGACAGGGCTTTGCACACTTGCGGTAGGCACAAATGCTCAAAACAACACAAAGGAACTGAGACAGAACATCCTACGCCAGTTTGCACCACCAGGCTGCATTCCTTCAGACCAAATCACACAGTTTATAGCTGACAGAATGACGATAATTTAATGATTGTTCTTAAAATGTAACAATGGCTTCTATATCTGCATTTTTTAGTATTTAGAATTTGATTGTAATGAACATTTACATAACCATGATAAACCATGTACTATTTTATCAACATGAACACCTTTATAAATCTTATATAACCCTCATATTTGCTCTCCATGTTCTTTAAACTCTCATAAATTACATCTTTTTCATAAACTGCTTGGTTTCTAGAAAAGTAGCACACATAGCAAATACACAAGAATCTATAATGATATGAGCATGATAACAGAGAGAAACTAATTACAGGGATTTTTAAAAGGAAAATTCAAAAGGAAGGTGGGAGGGGAAGCAAAGAAAGAAATCATTTAAAAAGACCATTCAGCAAAACCAGTAACAGGAAACAGGAAATGCTTAAGGCACTGATACAGCAGCATTTACATCTGTATCTCCCATTAACTTTCTATTTGATGCCTCAGGGAGTCATAACTCAGATCCCTGGGGTACATTATTTTTGAAGGTTGGTTTATTTTCCTGTCATTTTTTTCAATTATTAAACTCATCATTAATGACATTTAAAAAATATCTAACATAGACACAAAATTACTTATCATAAGAATTTGATTGTTTTGTAAATGAATTGCTTGAATACTTTGATTTTTACTGAGTATGGTAGGAGATGAATGAGTCTCCTGTCTATTTATGAATAATTAATTCATTAATGATAAACATTCATTCCTTCATACTTGACAAATGCCCCCATTGTGTACATTTTTCCCATACAGTGATGGAGGAAGTACCAGAGAAGCTACAGGCCTCTCTCAGGCCAAGACCATCCAGGGATTCATGTAGCCACCTGTGTAAAGGCTGGCAAGAATATTTAAGTTTATCTAATTGAATGTCCTCATTTTGATATAGGATAAGCTTCAATACCACTGATACTCAGAATGGTTAGTTGCAAGTCTAGAGTGAAGCCACATCTTCTCACCATATTATTTTTCTACTCTCCACTTCACCTACATTTCTTGATCCCTCATATTCTGTGTTGAACTGAGAATCAATTTATATTACTCAGGATTAGCAAACAGAAATGATAGAATGTGTATGTATATATAAAGAAAGATACTTATTGTAAGAAATTACCTCATGTGATTGTGGAGGCCGGCAAGTCCCAAATCTGTAGTGTGTATCCACAGGCTGGAGACCCAAGAGAGCTGGTGATGTAATAAAATCCAAGGGCATCTGCTGAAGAATTCTCTCTTGCTCAGGAAATTTGGTCTTTTTGCTCTATTTGCACATTCAGCTGATTGTGTAAGGCCCACCTGCACTATGAAGTGAGATTTGTTTTACTCGAAGTTCACAGATTAAACTATTAATCTTATCTAAAAACACCCTCCAACCTGACACATACAATTAACTATTACACAATTCCTCAAACAAATATCTTCCTGGTAATACACTGCCACTGATCTTTGCTAAAGGTGGGAGATTTAGACAGCAGACAAAACTTAGTTTCACTCCTTTTTTCTTCCCTGTAGTAGGTAGAGTTGAAGCCTAGAAGGGAGCAGTGTTGAGCATCCTAGGAGATGTCCAGGAAGAAACAGAACCAACCAGATGTGGGAACTAGAGAATACAAAACACCATAAACTTGAAGAGAATAAATATTCTGAAAATACAGGTATTTTCATATCCCAATAAGTCATCTACAGTAAGGATATTTAAAATATGTAAATTCTCACATCCCTCAGTACCAGACTTAACTATTTAAAATCACAATTATTTCATATTCATAGAGCCAATGGGATGGCCAGGTTTCCTAGAAATAAGATTATCAAATAGCAAGATGATATAAATTGAGCTATTCTCAGGTCAGTAGTAGCACTCAGTGGCCCACAAGCAAAATGCCAGCTGTGTGATAAATGCCATGAAGGTCACAGAAAGCTAAAAAGCTTAAAGGCAGGTGGAGAAACTGCATTCGAGAGTTAAGGGAAATTCACACAAGGATCCCAAAAAATGCATCCACCTTGAGAAGTCCCATAGGAAACTTTCATTCAAAGTCTTAAACTGTACGGATAAGGGATTACTTTAAAATGCCAAAATTCCATCTCTGTAGTTCTGACAAGGATTGATATTTATGACAATGAAATTATATGTAAGTATTACCATTAATTATCTTCCATTTATGTCTTCTGGTTTATTTGGCTTTCTGATTCATACTTATAAGCATTAAGTTTACTTTGAATACAATTCAAGGATAGTGCTTTATTGCAAAATAACTTGCATATGAAACTAGTCTTTTTAGGGGCACCATCTGTTGTTCGTGACACTTTAAATGAAGGAGATTTCAGTTGCTAAATATTCCACAGAAACATATGAAAAATATTCACAGGGTTTGGGTTTCTAAGAAAATACAATATCCCCTAAACATGAAATAAAACCCTTTCTTCAAAGGGTTTGCAATAAAAAATAAATGTTTAATTATATTTGATATATATAGACCTTTTCTGGAAAAGCCAAATAGAACGTGAATTAGATATGGGAAAACTATTTCTTGCCCCTGCTCCCATTGAGGTTATAGTCCATGACTTGCCTTCTAGAGGTCAAACCCACTTCTTCCTTTGGGTATAAAGCATGTTGATTCCCCATACATCTGGCCAAATGTCAAGTTCAATTCTCTTCTTAGATGGTCACCTCAAATACTTTCTGTAAAGACAGGTGTCAAGAAATTTGACTGTAGTGGCAGTTCTATAGTCTAGATTTACCAGAAAAAAAAAATCCGTATTATGATTCTGTGTATGACTTGAGTCTATTTTTTGTTTGTTTGTTTAATCCAAACAGAGAAGGATAGAGCTGGGACAAATCATTAAATATTTAATTTAAAGACATGTTCAAGATCACCAGCATTAGCTGTTATTATCGTTATTGATATATGGTACAACATTAAACAAGCAAGAGATTTATAGTTACTACTCAGGGTTATCTTAAATTGAGTCATAGACTTTAGATCAATTATAAAGCTTTACTTAAAGTTGTCTGATAAAAAAGTCAAATATACAACAGAATGTAGTCGGCGGCCGGCGGGGGGAAGTGCACAAACCCCATTAAAGATAACAGCTGAGGTTTGGAAGAGTACAGCCTACTATCCTTAAATGTTTCTGATATAATGAAGTTTATTAACCAAAGAAAATCTATACAAAAAAAAAAAAAGACAAACTACAATCTCAAGGTTTCCTATTCAGGAAAAAAACTAAAAGTTGGGAATAGGAGTGACATTACAGTATCTTAATATGGGGTTAAGTATCAGGATGAATTGAGCCTCTTTGAACATTAACTTAGATGCATACACTGCCTCAAAGAAGAAAGCCAAGAGAAAGGACAGGAGTAAATATCAGAGTCAGGGTCAGAAAGGAACGATGCATGAGAGACAGAGACTTTATATTCAAAGGAAAAGCAATGTTATAAGGAGAGAAAAGTTTAAATACACGAGAAAGGATTGGGGATATATGGGAAAACTATTTAAAAAGGATTGATGTACAAAGAGAGACAAATGGATAATTAGTTTCCTACATTGTGAATTGACAGACTAGATGAAAACTGAGGTCTCTCCTAGCTCCATGAAACCAATAAATTATTTAAAACAAAATATTGGTTACTTTTGAATAAAATGAAGGAGGCTTTAATTAATGCTTTTAGTTGGTGTTTTACTACTCATAAATTTAAACAACTCCTCTTCCTTATTTCATTAAGCCCCACCAAAATTTCAAAAAACACATATGAAAAAAAATTAAGCAATGATATAAAGGTTGTTTTCCCTAAAAGATGTCAGATTATAGCAAAAAAAAATTTGCAAAAAGAAATAATAAATAAAACAAGTCTTAAGCGAACACTTATACGCTGTTGGTGGGAGTGTAAATTACTTCAACCATTGTGGAAAAAGCATGTGGCGATTCTTCAAAGAGCTTAAAACAGAGCTACCATTCTACCCAGAAATCCCATTACTGGGTTTATACCAAGAATATAAATCATTCTAACATAAAGACACATGCATATAAATGTTCATTACAACAATACTCACAATAGCAAAGATGTGGAATCAAACTGAACACCCATCAATGACAGACTGAATAAAGACAATGTGGTACATACATACCATGGAATACCATGCAGCCATGAACAAGAATGAGATCATGTCTTTTGCAGAAACACAGATAGAGCTGGAGGCTATTATCCTTATACAGGATAATACAGGAACAGAAAACAAAATACCTCATATTCTCATTTGTAAGTGGGAGGTAAATGATGAGAATTCATGGACACAAAGCGGGGAATGACAGACACTGGAGCCTACTTGAGGGCTTGAGATGGAGGGTAGGAGGAGGGAGAGGAGGAGAAAAAAAATATCTACTTAGTACCTAGGTGACAAAATCACCTGTACACAAAACCCCTGTGGCACGAGTTTACCTGTATAATAAAACTTCACATGCACTCCTGACCTAAAATAAAAGTTAAAAAAAAGTCTTTTTACTACCACCAGCACAAAAAGTATTCTATTTTCACTGCTCCATTGAGAATTAAAAATCTAGAATTTTTAGAATCTAAAAATCTAAAATTTCTTAGGATAACTGTACTTATTAACCGTGGAATTCTGCATTAAAATAAAATTTAAAATAATCTGACATGTCAATCAATGGCAACAAAGTGATATTCATATGCAGACAAAAATAGTTTGAATTTGCAAAGGTAGTATCACTACTCTTGTGTAAGGTATACATAACAGATACAGAAAAAATTATTAACAAGGAATAGTCAAGGGTGCATGTAAAATTTGATAAGCCACGAGGAATATACCAAAAATGTAAATCCTTCCTCACGGTGTCATGGTTGGATGACAAGTAATTTCATAACTTTCATGTGTATATAACGTATGTACAACAGAGAGAGAAGAAAAGGGGGACTGTTTGGATTTCTCTCTGCTTAGTGGGAGAATGAGGACTGCCTTAGAATTTGAACTAGGATATGTTAATGGAATATTATAATTTTGAAACTTATTTCAAGACCTATGCAAAATTTTGAGTATGCCTAGGAGGAACATTCTGAAGAGTAAAGGCTACCCGAATAGCATGGTATCAGGCAAGGGTCAAGGAAAGATAGTCAGAAAGAATCCCCAAAACAGAGATGGCCTGGAATATAGGAACAGGAGGTTTAGGTTTCCTTCTGTTGTTTGCTATGCTGTAGGCTGCCAACACGATTTTAAATGTCCAATGAAAGTGTGATTTACATAAGTGTTGTACTGAGGAATATGGGAGGCACATGTCTCTTCATTGGGAAAGTTTGTAGAAGTCAAACAGTAGTTTCAAGAATGAATACAACAATCAGACATTAGGTATTATAGAAATCCCAAAGAGAGGTGCCTGGGAGAAAGAAACACACTCCCTCCTGACATCTCCCATATCTGGAACCTCCTAGAAATCCATGAATATCTGTTTAGGGGATATTTTAGACTCCCCACACTAAGTGAAAATAGAAGCTTGAGTCATTCTATTATGATATTTTAAAAAATGTTTTAGTCATCTGATGAAAGGCTACTTATACTAAGGGAGTTTTAAAATTATTAAATCCAATAATAAAGTTAAGTTAGTCACTAGTAGAGTTTACTGGGAATTGAAATTCAGTGTCCTGCTATGAATTCTGGCTGCTACACAACTGCCAGGCTTTCAACTTTCTGGTATGTTTGCATACAATTATATAGCTGGATTGTCCACTATTTTCAGATAACTTATTTAATTTTTTCAGGCAGCATTTACTTTGTTTTAAGCCACTTAAGATTTGCAGTCACTCCTGTTCTTGCCTTTCAATTATAAATTCGTTTATTTTCTTCAGTTAAATTTGCCCAGGACTGTCAGCTGACCCTACAGTGTGAGGCAAGGCATATTTGTATCAACATTGCTTTGGGATTATATCTTTCTGATAAATATGTTTCAAGACCTATAAGCCTTGCAGCTCAAATACAGAATTATTCAGACTCTTGGCTCTAATGCAAAGGCAAACCAATATTACAACAAAAGTATACTTATGCAGTGAAAGAGCAATGTTTTTCCTACCAAACATGGAAACAGATAAAGTAGGTGGATCCCAGGCTTACTTGATGAGCGTAGGAAGAGCTCTGGAAAAAAATGGGAAGAACCACTGGTCTTCAGTAAGAATAAAGCTGTCATTTCCCTGCATGATGAAGTGACGGTAAGATGTGCCTATGTTTGAACCATCATATTCTAACTCAGTCCTCCATAATGCCAAACAAATTTTGTATATGATAAAAGTTGCA